TAATTCTGCATAGGATTTTATACCAAAGCGTGAAAAGTCAACGCTACTGTCCCTTGCTGGAGCTGTTTTTACTTGCCCCTTGCCTTGCTTTTGCTCCTTGCCACGCTTATAACCTCCTTGTCTTCCATGGAAAGATCTGAAAAGCCTCTGACTCAGGTTGAAAATTCTACTATGCTCTTCAGCTCTGTAGCCTGAGAGATGGAAGGTGCAAACAACTCCTTCATATCTGTCTCACATGATTTATCTGACAGGGCATTCACCACACCTTATGATGTAAATCGGTGGTTCTCACACTGGGGGAGGAGGTCAGAATATCTCTCTGCTGCTAACTGCCCCCCAACCCCAGGGTTTCCTAATCAATAGGCCTGCTATGGAGCCCCAGAATTTGCATTTTTTTTTTTTTTTTTTTTTTGAGACTGAGTTTCCTTTCTGTTGCTCAGGCTGGAGTGCAATGTCGTGATCTCGGCTCACCGCAACCTCCACCTCCCGGGTTCAAGTGGTTCTTCTGCCTCAGCCTCCCGAGTAGCTGGATTACAGGCATGTGCCACCACGTCTGGCTAATTTTGTATTTTTAGTGGGCATGGGGTTTCTCCATGTTAGTCAGGCTGATCTTGAACTCGCAACCTCAGGTGATTCACCCACCTCAGCCTCCCAAAATGCTGGGATTATAGGCATGAGACACCGCACTCTGCTAGCATTTTAAAAAAGCTCCCAGGTGAAACTGAGGCTGGTTTGGGGCACACACTTTGAGAACTGTTGACTAGGTGTTATCAAAATGTAGATCCAAAATGACCTAAAGCCTGGAAATCTGGTTCCCAAGTCCCAGGTGGCTCTACACAAGGGACCAGGCCTCTTTGCCATCATGGCTTCAAGGAGAGCTAGGGGAGCAGCCCTTGGGGAGGGGGCTGTCCTGGGGTCCCCTCACTGTGCCCAGGCCTGCGGCTCCTTCTCCCTGGCTCATTTCCACACATTGTGCACATGTACATGCATGTACAGATACACACAGTCCCACACACTCACCCTCATATTCAGACACGCATTCACACACACTTGTAAAGGGTGTTAGGACCAAGAGGCGGCTGCTCAGGTGAGGGCTTCCCAGGTAAGGATGCAGCCCAGACCAGCCTGCGCTCAGGTGGCTCCTCAGTCATCACCCCTCAGAGGTAAGGTAAAAGGACACCCCAGGGCAGGGCCCGCACCCGCCCCAGCACCCCTGCATGCCAAAGTCAGCATATTTGCATTGTACAGAGGTCACGGAGAAAGCGCAATAGGGACAAAGAGGGAAAGAGACTAAGAGTGGGACAAAGAGAGAGAGACGTCCACAGAGACAGGGAGATGGAGACACATGCACAGAGAGATGAGAAGGGCGGAAATAAGCGGATCTGGTGGGGGCAGAGCTGGAGGAGAGGCAGGAGGAAGAGCGAAACCATGAAGGTCAAGGGGAGGGCGGCAGAGAGGCGTGCCTCTGCCAGGCTGGAGAGCAGGGCGGGGTGCAGTGGGCAGAGGGCAGGAAGGGGAAAACAGGCCAGGGCATCCCTGAGGAAGTGTGAGGAAGGCACGGCCAGGGAGGTGCAAAGTGTGGAAAGGTGAATGCGGCAGAGAAGCAGGGCAGGGTGGGAGATGAGGCATGTGGTGGGGGACAATGGCTGGGACAGACAGACAGAAAGGGAGAAACGGGAGACCCGCACACAGGGAAGGAGGGACCCGAAGCTGACTGAGCACAGCACTATGTGCTGGAATTACTAAGAAAAGAGCCAGTCCCTCTCCTCAAGCCAGGAATGCTTCATTCTCCAGAAGCTTGTCAAATATACAAACAGAAAACATTAAAACTACGCACAGGGCCGGGCGCGGTGGCTCAAGCCTGTAATCCCAGCACTTTGGGAGGCCGAGGCGGGTGGATCACAAGGTCAAGAGATCGAGACCAACCTGGTCAACATGGTGAAACCCCGTCTCTACTAAAAATACAAAAAAAATTAGCTGGGCACGGCGGAGATCGCGCCATTGCACTCCAGCCTGGGTAACAAGAGCGAGACTCCGTCTCAAAAAAAAAAAAAAAAACAAAAACAAAAAACAAAACAACAAAAAAAAACTATGCACAGAAGCAGAGAGAAAAAGGCTCAGGGAGTTGTGGAAAGCAGTACAGAGGCTGGGTAGATTCCAGTCGAGATCTAGAAAGGCTTCCCAGAGGAGGTGACACCTACAGAAAGACTGAAGAAGAGTTACCCAGGTGCTGAGGGGGAGAGGAGGAGCAGGTTACGGAGAGACAGGAAGCCTGGAGATGCAGGGGGCGGAGGCAGGTCTCGGAGGACCCTGTTGGGCTTCATCCTGAAGACAGCAGGGAGCCCCGATGGGGTTCAAGCAGCCAGATCTGTGTGTGCGTGAGCTGCTGGGGCAGAATGGACTGAGTGGCACAAGAGAGTCAGCAAGAGGATAAGTCCAGGTGGCCCAGCAAGGGACAATGCTGGGCTAGGGCGGTCTGCATGCAGATAGAGAGGAGGGAGAGAGCTTGAGAGCTGCAGGGCCAGTAAGATCTGCAGGGCTTGGAAGCTCGGAGGGGCCAACATGTGGGCACTTGGTGGCTGCCTTGGGTGGCATGAACAAGGCAGGCAGCAAGGGCTGGAGAAGCATCCCCCTCTTATGGGCTCCACGGCTTTGGGAATCTCCCTGTGGCCCTGCTGCAATGCAGCACCCACTCACCCACGGTCTGGGATGGGTGCCCACATCTGCGGGTCTTTCACTCATGCAGTGACCCTGAGAATACACCTTTATACTGGTGTAGTCATCTTCCCCTCTCCTGCTTCCCCACTCTTCCACTCTTGCGATCACCTTCCAATTAAATCCCTGAATCCAATGCCTCTCTCAGGCTCTGCTTTGTGGGGAACCCACACTAAGATGGGCTATGTTACTAGAGACCCAGGATGAGGAGTGTGGTGTTAACAGTCACACCATAGAAAATGCCTGTATTTCTCAGTATCTCCTACAGGCAGAGGCCTTGACTGGGCGCAAGGGATGTGGCATTGTCTGAGCCGGCTCTGGCTGTTCCAGACCTCCCTTCTGACAGGGGAGGTGAGCCAGCAGCACAGGAGGGATCAGAAACATTTCCCTTCTGCCTTTGGAGAATGTCACATGGGTTGGGGGCAGCAGATTGATGTTCCTAATTACATTTGGCTCAAGCTGATATTAAGTACTTGTCTCATTCCCAGAGCTCACAACAACGGCGGATGGCGGGAAAGGTGCCAAGAGGCATGCTGGGTAGCTCAGGATGACAATCTGGGATTTGAAATCTCTGTGAGATATAAAAGTGGACAGACAAGTCACAGCCATGGGTGCAGTGTGACTGATGTCCTTGAATTACCCTTTAAAGGCTTCTGATGGGGTCCCAGGGCTGGAAGAGCTCTTGAAAGGTCTTGAGTTCCATCCTCCTGGCTAGAGGCTGACCTGCCCAAGACAACTGACCGCTTCCCATGCTGGACAGCTGGCTGGTAGGAAATGCTTTCGTGGGCCTGATCTAAATTTCCTCTGCTTCAAGTTACAGGTGTGTTTTGCTTGATTGGTTCTCGGTGGCATTAAGTATTTGCTAAGCTCCTACTATGTGCCCAGAAGTATACAGTGAGAGAAGGCATGACCCTGTGCTCAGAGCCTCTTGAAAATGAGACCAGAACTAAATGCAACAGGGAGAGTCATTGGGCCCCTGTTGTCAGAAGAGGCAGGCAAGGAGGTGGAGCCCTGAGAGGTGGGGTGCAATTGGGTTAGTGCAGAAGAATAAAAGAGCATTCCTGGCAGACAAGCACCGTGGGAATATGCCTTAGGAAGGGTTTGGCACAGAGATGCCTGAGGTCTGCGGCACATCTGCTACCCAAGAGATTTAGTCAGTCCCTGGAACGCCTCTGGGGAATGAATAGTTGCTTACCTGCGCCCTAAGACACCTGTGAAACTCAAATTAGGCAGCAGGTAGGAATGGACCCTGGAGTTCACAGATTCAAAGCACAATGCTGAGCCTTGATTTAAGTAGACTTTCATTCAAGTCCTCGCTGTGACACTGTGTGCTCTTGGGTGGATTCCCTCCCTTCTCTAAATCTGTTTACTCACTGGCAAAGTGGGGATGGTAATTCTTTCTCACACTAATGCATTTAGGGTTCCCAAGAAAATGTAGTTAAAATAGCATGAGGACCCACAAAGCACTTCCTAGAGGCTGGTGACTCTATTATTATTGCTCCAATCTAAAGACTGGTCTCCTGGAAGGCAGGCCCATCTCCTCTCTGTTCCCCCAGCACTTGCCACCGAACAGGTGCTCATATATGACGTTTCCATCGCTGTCCTGGTGAATTGCACTGGTAATTAACGTGGAGCAGGAAGCCAGCTCTTCTGGGTTTGCCAGGCTGTCGTTCCTGGAGGACCCCTCTGCCTCCACCTCTGCCAACCCCAACGGAAACCCGTTGTGCCCACGTACTCGGGAGGGAGACTCCTTTCTGAAGACGGGCGAGGTCGCCTTCAGGTGATTGTCCCTAAAATCCCCGCAGCAGCTCCAGGTCACAGTGTGCCCCGAGTCAGGATTGGATCCACACACAGGACACACGTATGTTGTCCCTCCAGGAGTGGAGCGGCACTCGGTGGTAGTGTAGACAGTCCTAGGGCAGGGCAGCTTCTATAACAAGAGGTCCCTTAGGGATCTGGCGGCGAAGTGGAAAGAGCGGAAGGAACGACTCGGGGCCATAGGTCCTGTGCTCTGGTCAAGTCACTTCCCGCGTCCATCCCCCTCGGGTCGCCAGTTTCCTCCTCTGTAAAACTGACTCAGGCGGCCTTCTGGCAAGTCATCGCGGCGGGAACTAGACTGGAACGCGCGCTTAGCACAAATCCGTCCGGCCACCCTGTGCCCGGGGTCAGCGCGAGGTTGGGGTGCGGGCAGGGCTCCCGGGCTTGCGGCTGCCACGCCCCTCCCAGCCCGCCCGCCACTCTCACCGCCCACGGGCCGACTTTTCGAGCCTCCAGGGGGCGAGCCCCGCCGCCTTCTCTGCCCGCGCGGCGCCTTGGCCGTCCAGCCTGTGACTTCACCAGCGTGCCCCGGCCAGCGGGGCACCCGAGAGCGGGGGGCGCCGCCCGCGCCCCCAGCCGGCAGGTGCCGGGAGCCAGCCTCGCCTAGCCGCGGGGCGTCCGCAGGCCCGAAGGGGTTAAGGCCGCGGGCCCGGGCGCCCGTCCCGGCTCCGGGAGCGGCGGTGCCCGGCGGCCGGCGATCTGGCGGGAGGCGCGGGGCACGGCCGCGGGCGGGCTGCGCTTCCTCCTCCGCCTCCCTCCGCCTCCTCCTTTGTAGCGAGTTCCCGGCCCCTCTTCCTCCCCCCGCCCCCCAGCCCGGGCCCTCTCCCTCTCTCCCTTTCTTCCTGCCTCGCCTTCCTGCGGCGAAGGAGGCTCATCTATTATAAATGCACATTCGGGGCTGACATCAGCGACGAGCGGCGGGCGAGCGCCGACGAGCGGTCCCAGCGCGCTGCCCGCCCGGAGCGCAGCCCCCAGGCTCGGCCGAGCCGCCGGCGGGGCGCGGGGAGCGCGCCGGGAGCTGCCTGACCCCTTTCCCGCCGCCGCCCCGGGCCGCCGCCGCCCCCGCACGCCGCGCTCGCGCCCCCGCTCCGCCGCGGAGTTTCTGCATGACTGTCACAAAGGTAAGCGCCGCTCGCCTGCCGCGCCCGGGACCCGCCAGCGCCTGCAGCCCCCGGGCTGGGCTGCGGGGGGCGCGGGGGTGTGGGTGTGGGGAGGGGGCGCCGGGGCCGGGAAGGTGCGGCGCGCGCCTCTCTTGCTCCCCCAGCCGCTCGAGTCACTCCGGCCCGCAAGGAGTGCGGAGGCCGGGGGAGGACGCCGCTCTGGCAGCCCCGGCGGTTTGGCCGGCAGCCGTCCGCGCCCGGCCCAACCCCGGGACTGCATTTTTAACCCTTGTTTGGGATGCTGCATTTTTAACCCCTGGAGAGCTGGGCTGGGCGGCTGGTGGTGTCCCTCCGGGGAGCGCGCGGAGAGGAGCGTCGCTGGCAGGGGCTGGTGCTGAGCAGTGAGTGTGGGGATGGGCCTGCCGCCCCGAGGAGGCCAGAGGAGGGGAAACCCCACCCCACCTGCCGGGCTCCGCCGCCCATGCCGGGAGCGCTGGCTCCGCTCCAAAGCCACTCTGTGCAGAAGACGCTGCCCAGTCCCGGGAGCCGCTACCAGAGACAGGGCAGGTCCAGGTGGTTGGCTTAAAGATGTGGGGAGGGAATGTGACAGGGGAAGCAAAGGTGGGCATCTTGACAGACCCCCGTATTGGAGGACGATTGTTGGGCCTTGCCATGGGGGCCCACGTTTATTGGAGAGACTTTAGGGACTTCCCAGTTGTAGGGAGGAAAGAGTTAAGAGGAAAGAAAGATGATTGGACAGTGGAAAGTGTCAGGGTCAAGGGACCAGGGAGACCTGAGTTCAGTCCCCAGCTTTATCTCAAATCCCCTGGATGACCTCTGTCCACTTTGGGTCTCAGTTTCTTCTTGTGTGCTGTGAGGGTGATAATATGGGTCCCGGGTGGTGACAGGCTGTTGAAGAACCAATAAAATCCAGGGTGTGAACCCACACTCTGCCGAGGGATCTGTCTGGGTACTGAGCTCACCGTCTGGCGGTGGCCTTGGGCTTGGGCTTGGCTGTCCATGCAAGGGCCAGACTCCACCCATTTCAGCTGCCCAGCTGGGTCTCAGAACTGGGGGCCAGAGGCCAAAGTGGGACTGCCTGTGGTCACAGCAGAGGGGCCAGATGGAGGGTTGGGGTGCAAGTGATGGAGGTGGGGTGGTTCTGGCCCCCTCTGGTAAATCAGGGCCTACCCATGCCCTCATGAGACCTGCCCCAAGACTGCATGTTCGTGAGGATTCTTGGGCCCAACTCCAAACTCTGCCATTGGCCCTGGTTCTGGGACTTGGGAGCATCGTGAGAAGATGAACTTGAGGGTGCAGAGGCTTCTTCAGCACTGGCTACTTCTGGAGGGGCTGCTGTGACTCTGGGGGGGGGTAGGGTGCTTAGTGTTTTGAAGTGATACAAATGCTATTCAGCTGGGATGGATTATTATCATTAAGGTTGTTCATGTCAAAGATGCAAGCAGGCTGGGACAGAGGAGTAATGGATGGGCCCGGCTGGAGAGATAAAGGATGGGAGGTTTTAATAATAGCGCTGAGGATTGACTCGGCGCCTCCCCTGTGTCTCTTTATGTGCATGAACTCCTGCAGCCTTCCTTCTTCGGAGGCCTGCAAGGAAGGTGTGTTCAGTTCTCTTTAGCAGCGGAAGGAGCTGAGGCTCAGGGAGGTGAAACGACTTGCCTGAGGTCACACAGCATGTATGTGGCAGAGCTGGGGTGTGCCCTCAAGTCTGTCTCAACCTATGGCCAGTGATCTTGGCCCTGCTCTGCACTCTTGGGCATCCTGGCTAGTGGAGGACTTCCTTGGTACGGGAGCACTGCCTGGAGACGTGACCATTGAAGCAGGGATGGGACAGGGAGTCCACGAAAGTGGGTGCTCCCCTGTTAAGCCCAGTGGGAGGCCCAGCTTCTTAGTATCCAGTGATTATTCAACACTCTTCCACCTCCATACCCAGCCCCCAACAAACCCCTCCGTGTTGCTCACCTCCTGCTCTAACGAATGTGGCTCTGGCTTAAGCCAGCTCAGAGTATTAAATAAAATCCCCACCTTAACCCTATCTTCTCTCCCCTTGCTGGCCCTTCACAGACCGGCGTGTCCCTGTGGGAAACAGGGAGCAGGGGCATGCAGGAGAGGCCCTGGGGACTGACTTGCTGTCTACAAGCCTGCCGGTAGTGGCTCCGCCAGTACCATAGGGAAAGCCACCAGGCTCTGGAAGTCCGAAGGCCTGGCCCCTAGTCCCAGCTCAGCCACCAACGGGCTGGGTGACCTTGGACCAGCCAGTCATTTCCATCCTTGGGACTCTGCTTTTCCGTCCGTCAAATGTGGGACTTGGTTCCGATGATCTCTAGGGCCTCTTCCGCTGAGCCTAGGTACAGCGTCAGTTTGGCAAGAAAGCCACCTTTGATGGAGATTGGGAGACTCTTTGTTCTCCGGGGGGTGGTCTGTTTACAAGACAGTTAAGAAGCAGAACCCTAAAGAGGGTGTGAGAGGTGGGATCACTGCTGACACACTGGGCCTGGTAGGTAGGGGAATCAGTTTGAGTGAGCTCCCAGGGCAATGTCTTGGGCTGCAGCCTTCTCTGCTGCTTCTCCTCCGGGCAGAGGGTCATGGGTGGGTCCCAGCTTCCTGCCCCTTGGATGCCGCCTTAGCCCTTGTGTCGGGTCCCCTGAGGGCAGAGTCCTCTGGGCCAGGGTTAATGGGGACGGCAGGAGCTCAGAGAGGCCTGGCAAGTGGAGAAGAGGAAACCAGATGGGGAGTTGCTAGGTCTTCGGTAGACTTTCCATAGAGGAGGTGAGCCCGTTTTCCGTTTTCCGTTTTCCGCCTCTCTTTCATGCATTCCCTTCCCCCCTTAATTGTGAGGCGCAGCTGCTGAAGCTGCAGGCAAGCCTGTGGGTTTCTGAAGGACTCCTGCCCTCACTGGCCTTAACAACACAGAGCCCTGGAGACCTTCTAGCCCCATGATATTTCTCCCGGTTACCTGGTTATGTTTGTTTGTGTGTTTGTTTTGAGATGGAGTTTTGCTCTTGTTGCTCAGGCTGGAGTGCAATGGTGCGATCTCGGCTCTCTGAAACCTCTGCCTCCAGGGTTCAAGTGATTTTCCTGCCTCAGTCTCCCAAGTAGCTGGGATTTCAGGCATGCGCCACCACACCCGGCTAATTTTGTATTTTTAGTAGAGACAGGGTTTCTCCATGTTGCTCAGGCTGGTCTCGAACTCCCGATCTCAGGTGATCCGCCCGCCTCGGCTTCCCGAAATGCTGGGATTACAGGCATGAGCCACGGCACCCAGCTCCTGGTTATGTTTTAAACTCTATTTTATTGTGTATAATTTAGTAGGCTACTTTAATTTCTTTATGGGATGAGAAACAGAAGACAGAAAAAGGGAAGGAAGAGCGGAGGGAAGGCTCTGATGCAGAGCCGTGAGCATGCGCAGGAGGTCAAGGCGCTGCCTCCTCTCAGTCTTAGTCCAGTGTGCTTCCTAGGGCAGCTTGGGGCGAGGGAGCCACGGCTGCTTTCCCCGAGACAAGTAGCTCCAGCCGATTTTTTTTTTTTTTTTTTTTTTTTTTTTTTTTTTTTTGAGACGGAGTTTCGCTCTTGTTGCCCAGGCTGGAGTGCAATGGCATGATCTCGGCTCACCGCAACCTCCGCCTCCTGGGTTCAGGCAATTCTCCTGCCTCAGCCTCCTGAGTAGCTGGGATTACAGGCACGCGCCACCATGCCCAGCTAATTTTTAGTATTTTCAGTAGAGATGGGGTGTCACCATGTTGACCAGGATGGTCTCGATCTCTTGACCTGGTGATCCACCCGCCTCGGCCTCCCAAAGTGCTGGGATTACAGGCTTGAGCCACCGCGCCCGGCCTCCAGCCGATTTTATGTTTCAAATTCTTCTGACTGCTTTGTATACCTTTCTCTTTCTGTTCCATCGAGGTCATGGACCAGATCAGCAGCGCTTCTCCACTTCTAAATACCTGTTTCTACATTGCTATCACCTGGAAAACCAGAGGACCAAGTCCACTAAGAGAGTTGTGTGTAAAGTACAAGTTAATGGGCTATAAGAAAGCCTGGGAGCTGAAGTGTAGGCCTTTGCAACCTGCTTTGTACTGCTCGGAGGTGCTTTTGAGTGGCTGCTGGCTGTGATGTGACCAGAGTAGGCCTTTTAGGTAAGGGAGGAGGTGGCTTAGAGTGAACAGGCTCCCCAGTTTGTAGGTGTGCCTTGTTGAGTTAGATACTAGTGAGCTGAATTCTTTTCAGCTTCCTGAGCCTGGCCCGGGGGGTCAGCAGTCCAGGTACCCTGAGCAGCAGAATGGCCCTGCTGCACCTCAGAAGGCCTTAGGGGAAGGAGTGTGGGAAAAGAGAAGACCCTGGATGTCAACATCCTCCTCCCTGCTAAGCGGATCCATGAGCAATACAATCAGCTGGGCCCTGGCCCCTCTTTCTATGGGCAGCCTTCTCTCTCCTGCCCCAGCCCCTGCAGGGCACAGCCTACTGATAGGAGCCAATGGCTCCCGCTGAATGTGAAAGGACTGAGGATGATGTTATTCCGCCCAGGTAATAGCAGGCCTGCCTTTGCCAAAGATCATGTTTCTCTAGGGCCCCTACAGAGTCACCTGTAGGAGAATAAGATTTTGGAGCAATCAAATCACCCAACCCTTTCCCTTGAGACATGAGGGCACGGAGACCCTGGGAGCAGAAGTCGTGACTTGCCCAAAGTCTTTCAGCAAGTTTGAGGATGGAGGAGCTGGCACCTGGGTCCTCCTGATTCGTGATCAGTGCTGTTTCCATCTGGCTGCCCTGGGAAGGGGTCCTGGGGCAGCCTGAGCAGGCACAGATGTTTTGGCCCCACTCCAGGTACCCCACTGCCTCGCCCCTGCCTGTCCTGCCAGGGCCTGGATTTCCCTTGCTGGATACGATAGATGGAAAAAGCATTGTGGGTATGGGAGGAGGGACAGGATGTGGGGCAGAGGAGCAAAGTCCAGAGGAGCCTTGCTCTACCTCCAGTCAGATGGTGAGGTGGATTGCAAGGC